TGTATGCATGATGATGAGAGTATGCCGACGTGGCATTTTGGCTGAGGTGGCACTGCATTGCGTTGTGGGTGGTACCGAGGCTATTGACCGGTCATCGAAATGCACATCAGCCCAATTGGTGAGAAATCTGTGGTTGGGGGCAGCTATCTCCAGGTACGTTGTTCCCATTCCTTATCTACCCTCTCAATCTCTTCTTACCGTGAGGAAGTGTCCAACTTGAGTGTCCTCTCTTTGGTGAAGAGTCGTCTGCGCTCTATCTTGAGAGACGACGTTCTTCTCGGTGGCGCATCTGGCAGGAGAGGGCGGTGCCTCTGAAGGGCCCTGGTCGAAGCACGGGTGACGGTCACCATGCCAACCCATGGGTATTAGTACATGCAGGCCATGCTGCTTTGTCCATTGAGGCTCTTTGCTGCGCTGATAGAAGGGGTGTGCGGAGTGACCAGTCCTATTAAGACGCTCCCAGACCGTCTATAAACATTTCTGGTTGGGGTCTGATCTGTCCACTGGCTGTGATCGGTGTCCTGATTGCGACGTTAAAGAATTCCTGAGGAGATGGGGGCTCTCCTTAAATCCCTCCTGATCAGCCAGATCAGTCAAGGCTCGTTGCACGCAAGGGTAAACAAAGGGGCAGGCTGGTCATAAGCATGCTTCTTGGGCATAGGGGTGGGCCGTGGTTGCACGCCTTAGACACCGCAGCTTGATGATGCTCACAGGTACGTTGGATACAGGGGAAGGGGATTCCAATTGTGAACTCAACTGTACACCACTGACATATCCATTGTGCATACATCTGCTTACACTAGTCTAAGTTTTATTTCGACTGACACCTAACAGACAGACTAGAGTAGGACTGTAATCTACCATAGTCAGTTCTTCTCAAATCTTCTGTGCAGACTAATCAGAATAGAGTGAGACAATGTGTACAGTTTGTGTAGAAGCTGTTGATGCCGCTTGACTAGTAGACTAGGTAACTCGCCGAGCATTTAGTTAATTATTTATTTTTAGATTTGGTCAGACGCATGCTGCGGTAGGTTCCAGCGAGGACATTAGTGTAGACAACGTCTGCCTAACCTATGAGTGGATCAGAGGGTGGTGAGGGTGCAGATGACGATAGGAGGTTAACAAGGCTGTCATCCCTTAGAATTCCTAGAGTGTTCCAGACCTTACAACCGGGAGAAGAGAGAAGGTTAAGGGCTGAAGCTAGGGCCCGTAATCTTGAAGCTGCAAGAGAAGCAACAGCAGCTAGAGCTGTAGCAATGGCTACTTCCGCAGCATCTGCTGCGAACTCAACTGGTCAAGGGCTAGGCATGCTGACCAGTTCACAATCAATCTCCAGTACGTCAAGGGTTGACACTAGTCAAATGGCGGGCTCGCAGTTCAGCTCGCCGCCTCCACGCACCCGGGAGCAGATGGAGCTCCAGCAAGTAGACAAGATCCGCTTAAGGTTAGATGAGGAACTTAGAAGGGCTACTAAAAGAGAGAAAGAGATCGAAGAAAGAAGTGTCAGATTAGAGGGCAGGGAGGCAGACATGGCTGCGCTAGAGGCATTGGAGGACTCCGCATTTAACACTTCAGGAAAGATCCTGAAGGCAAGTGTCCTATCCATGCATGCGTACATAGATAGCAAAATGGACGCAATGCAGGATACTCTAGACCATATTCTGCAAGCGCTGCATAAGCTAGGGATCCGGCCAACAACTATACCATCGCTGCCACTCTCAGCGATGACAGACCTCTATGCAGCTCAATCAGGACCACCACCAAGTGTATCATCAACAGTAGCTCTATCTCAGATTGTTGCTTCTTCATCTTCTGGTCCAGCGACTGTTGCTACACCGCAGTCGCCATCTGTCTTGCAACCGGGACAACAATATCCTTGGTACCCCAAGACCCCACTGAACCCACCTGCAACCTTCTCAGGAGACAAGAAGGATGAGGCTCTCGACACATGGTTGAGAACGGTGCCAGTGTGGGTGAGGGCGAAAAGGGCATTGGTAGAAGAGGAAGTGATTACTGGTTCATCCTACTTAGAGGGTTCAGCAGCCCGCTGGTTAAATGGATTGGTAGCTTCAAAGGGCTTCGGCAGGAACATGCATGATTGGGCGCATACCCACACATTAGAAAGCTTTATGGACTTAGTGGAGGCTCATTGGCACAACCCTCAGGAGGCACAAATTGCCACTGATGGGCTCTTGAAACTTGATACTAGAAAGTACAAGTCTGTGCGAGAACTCACCACAGCCGTAGAACGCCTGATCGTCGTCCCGGGAGTGGAGTACAATCCACAGGTCTTGCTGACCATGTTCCTGAGATGTCTTCCCACAGACATTAGGAATCTATTAGCCAGCGAGGCTCGCAAAGAGTATCACACATTTGAGTCATTCAACAAGAAGGCCCTAGACTTAGAGGCTACTTTGGGTGGAGCTCAAACCCCTTCTACGGATGGGAGAAAGAAGAAGACTCTACAAGAGTGGAAAAAGAAGGGTAGTCGATTGATGATGGTTGATTCCGATGGGAATCAAACTGAGATCGATGATGTTTCTGAACTTGTGGCGGGTTCAGAGTTTGACGGCGAGGAGAGTGATGAGGGTAGCAACCTTGCCGCCGTAGTCAAGACTAAGGCCGCTGGCCGCGGCAAGGGCGGTCAACAAAGGAGTCAGGGGCAGGCCGCTAACCCAAACAAAATAGTTGCTTGGGTTAGAGCAGGTCTGGATCAAGAAGTGTGGCGGGACCGTTGGTCTCGTGGTGTTTGTATTAACTGCAGTGAGTATGGTCACACACAGTTCAAATGCAAAAACCCGAAGGTCTCGCAGAAGATCCCTCCTAAGGGTGTGTTCTCTTCTTCTCAATCTGGGGCCTCTACGAGCTCCAGCTCGGGAAACACTTAGGGCCAGTAGAAGTTATAGCTGCTTCTACTCTCGTTGAAGCGGGTGATGTACCCTCCCCGTTTCAAGAGATGGCCAAAGCTATTGACTCCTTAGTTACCCCGCAGACGCATCTGGACCCAACTATACTCTGTACGTTGGATGTGTCTGAGGCCTTAGAGGACCTTCAAGGTGAGTGGTCGGCAAAGGACCCTCGTGAGTCCTGGGTGGCACTAAGTAGAGGTCCTAGAGGGGAGCACTTCGTTGTGGAAGTTGATGTGGGCGGTCGCAAGTGCGGCGCCTTCGTAGACATTGGCTCCACACGGAACTTCATAAGTCGTGACTGCGTTGACAGACTGTGCCTAAAGGACCGGGTGCAGCGCCTTAGTAGACCGGTAGCATCTACTTTGGCCAACAAAGAGCGCATGATGGTGGAGGACTACGTGAAAGATGTAGTCTGCACCTTCTCCTACCCAGGAGGAGAGATAAACCATAAGATATCTTTCCTGGTGAGCGACGAGTTGCCCTTTGACATGTTATTGGGCATGTACTACCTCGAGGTTGCCAAGCCCCAGTTTGACTGGGACAAAAAGGTGTTGAAGCACGAGTTGCCTAGTGGGAGAACCGTGAGACTGGCCAAGTACAAAGCCAGTAGGTTAGTAGACTCCTATGGGTGCTTATGCGCATTTGCCTTTTATAATTATTATAAACAAAACCAAGAGGAAGGAACGTACTTAGTCTTTGTCTTTGCAAAAGGGGAGGCCGCTAAAACACCCCCAGAGATAGAGACCATCGCCGCTAAGTACCCAGATCTGTTTGAAGAGCCTACATAAGTCGTAGACAGGGAGATTGTCCATGCCATAGAGATTATCCCAGGTAGTAAAACACCAAAGGGTAGAATCTATAGGATGACTCCAGCCGAGTTGGACGAACTTCGGCGACAACTGAAAGAGCTCATAGAGAAGGGTTGGATCCGGCCTAGCACTTCCCCTTTTGGCTCACCAATATTGTTTGTTCCAAAGAAAGGGGGAACACTAAGGATGTGCATTGATTATAGAAGCCTCAATGCCATCACCGTTAAGAACATAGAGCCTCTACCACGCATCGACAACCTATTGGATAGGGTGCAGGGATGTAAGTACTACACAAAGATAGATTTAAAATCCGGCTACCATCAGATTGCCATTAGACCAGAGGACCAACACAAAATCGCATTTCAGACTAGGTACGGTCTGTACGAGTTTGTGGTGATGCCATTTGGCCTTTGCAATGCGCCGGGTACATTCTAGCACGCCATGAATAGGGTCTTCCATGACTACTTGGATAAGTTTGTTGTCGTGGACCTCGACGACATACTTATCTTCATTAGATCTGTCGAGGAGCATGCTCAGCATGTAGACACAATACTTTCACTCCTTCGATAGCACAAGTATAAGATAAACTCAGAGAAATGCGAGTTTTGTCGCACTCGAATCTTGTACTTGGATCATGAAGTATCTGCGGATGGGATTAGGCCCGAAGATGCTAAGGTGGCTAGCATACGTGACTGGCCACGACCCCAGTCAGTGGCTGAGGTCAGATCATTCTTGGGAATGTGTGGTTATTACCGTAATTTTGTAAAGAATTATAGCACGATCACATCTCCCGTGACTGATCTAACTCGACTCGACACACCATGGGACTGGACCGACGAGTGTGAGGCAGCTTTCAAGCGTTTGAAGCATGCTCTCACGCATCACGAAGTTCTCATGGTGCCCGACCCGCAAAGGCCATTCGTTGTAACCACTGACGCAAGCCAATATGGGATTGGCGCAGTGCTGGCTCAGCAGGAAGGGAAGAAGTTGAGACTGATCGAGTACATGAGCAAAAAGATGCCTTCAAAGAAGTTGACAAAGTCCACCTACGAGAGGGAACTCTACGCTCTTTACAAGGCACTTGTCCACTGGAGGCACTACCTGTTAGGAAGGTTCTTCTACTAGAGAACGACACTCAAGTGGATCAAGACTCAACCAATTCTCTCCAATGCCCCCAAACGCTGGATTGAAGCCATAGATCAATATGATTTCAAACTAGACTATTTGAAGGGAGAGTACAACAAGGTTGCAGATGCGTTGTCTAGGAGAGCAGATTACCTAGGTGCGCTGATTTCTGAGTTTGGTTTGTCTGAGGACGTGACTCGATCGTTGGAAGAAGCCTACAAGGAAGATCCCATCACGATGGACATCATCAACAAACTACAGGCTAAAGACAAGGCCACCACTGATGAGTTTGTGATGGTGGATGGGTTGCTCTTTCTTGAGAAGGCAGGGTTCAAAAGGTTAGTTGTTCCATCTAGGGAAACTTTGTGTAGTTTGTTTTTAGGTGAGTGCCACGACGCAACATGACATTTCGGTTATAAGAAGACTAGTGCTAATCTAGTACAGCGATTCCGGTGGCCTAACATGCTTGACGATGTGAAGAAGTACGTGGAGACCTGTCGGGTCTGTCAGCGGGACAAGCCGCGAACTCAAGCTCCGCTTGGGTTACTCAAGCCTTTACCCATTCCTGCTGGCCCAGGTCAGAGTATCTCCATGGACTTCATGGATACTCTCGTGACCAGCAAAAATGGCAAGAGGCACATTTTCTTCGTAGTGGACAGGTTCACTAAGTACGCTAGACTAATCGCCGTGCCAGAGATTGCCAGGACTGAGCACGTCATCAAGTTGTTCATAGACAACTGGGCGCGTGACTTTGGACTTCCAAAGACGATCGTTAGTGACAGAGATGTGAGATTCACAAGCGAGATGTGGAAGAAGGCCGCTGAACAGATGGCCAGCCAGCTTCAAATGACTTCTGGGAATCATCCCGAAGCAAATGGGCAGGCTGAACAGATGAACCGAGTGGTGCAGCATCTGCTGAGGTATTACATTAAGCCCAACCAGGATGACTGGGATAAGAAATTACCTCTCATCGCCAGCCTGTATAATAATGCTGTACACAACACCACCGGTGTCAGTCCTAATCAACTGCATCTCGGGTGGAAACCTAGATCTGCTCTAGACTTCCTCCTGCGTGAAAACCGAACTGCTGCAACTCCTGGAACCATTGAATTTGGTGTCCAGTATGAGAAACTGTTGCAGCAGACTGTCGAACATATCAAGAAATCTCAAGAAGCCATGATAGCTTCTGAGAACAAGCATCGCCGACAGTCCACATTTCAGGTAGGGGAACGTGTCTGGGTCAAGGCTAGTGAATTGGGACAGGAGTTTGGCATCTCTAGGAAACTAATGCCTCAGTATTTCGGTCCCTGGGAAGTCTTGGACATTGTGGGGAATGATATGGATGGTCCCTCGTACGTCATTCGTATCCCTGGTCACTTACGCACTTACCCTGTTTTTCATGCCTCCAAGCTTGCACCTTTCGCTGAGACAGCACAGTTCCCATCACGGAGATCTATGCTGCCCCCAACCATGGATGGCCATGTGGACGTCGACGATATCCTGGATCACAGAGACACGCCTGTTCCTAAGCCACCTGGCAGGGGAAGACCTCCCAAACCTGCGAGGGAATACAGAGTACATTTCAGGCATCAGACGGATCCAAAGGAAGATCGATGGATCCCAAGAGAGAAACTAGTCAAGACAGCTCCTCAGATCGTGGCAGATTATCTGAAGAGGTTAAAAGGGAAGGCACCAGCATGAAGAGCATCTCAGCGGACTTTCGAAGCTAAGGGGGATGGAATGTGAGGAACAAGCCCTCAAGTGGCCCTATGAGACATCACATTGTTCTGGGCTAAGGCCCCCAGCAAGCCAGGTGCCCGCCCTAATAAGTGAAGGCGGGCCTGAATATTTGTCAAAGGCAAAATTCGACATTTCCATATGGGGGTATTCAGGCTCTCGCAGCACGCCAGTTGGTTGGGAAAGACGCGTGAGCCTCACAAATGCTG